GATGAATATGAAGAAGAATATGACAATGATATAATTTATTTTAACAAAAAGAAAGGTCAGAAACGAAAATTATTATCTGACAAAAACCTATGAAGACAATTGAAATAAATTAATGACATTTTTTTAGTAATTTTTTTGAAATTAATTAATGGAAAAACACTATATCAAAAGTAATGTGCTGTCATAGAACTTGATGGTTATATTTTTTGTCGTGTGGGACATATTGGTGGTCTTACTTGTATTTTTTATTATAATCAATACAAAGCAAGAGTTGATATTAACTCTAGCTATACAATGTATGTAAATGAATATGCTATTAAAAATCAATTATTTCATTTTTAAATGGTTTGTTTTTTTTTATTTTTTTATTAGTATTTTTCTGCAGATAACATAGGGGCAAAAAATTGGTTATATTGATATATTTTTAAAGATTTTTGCCATTATATAACCTCCAAAGAATTAACGAGTTATTTTATAAAATTTTTTATATTTCAATGATATTGATATTTTATCTATTCAAACATTTGGTATTTTATTAATGGAATATCCCGGGCATCCTTTGTTATATCCGTTGCATTTTGTGTGCAGATATTTATTAAAAATGAAAAGAACTCCGTCGAAAATAAAAGTGTAAAAATTAAACCAACTGTAGAAGATTTAAAACATTCAATTGATTTAAAATCTTTTTTAAATGATGAAAATGCAATAACATCTACAAAAATGTAGATCTTATTGAATTTTTATATAGAACAGTAGGATAATACGTTGTTGAGAGTATAAAAACAATGAAAGCCTTTACCTAATTTCAACTTATCGGCTGCCTATAGTTTATATGCAAAATAAAAAACTATTTTTATTTAATAAAAATTTTTGTTTTAGGTATCATTATATTAATGTAAGTAAGCAAACGAATAGAATTTTATACGATTATTTCAACATTTATTTGCATGATTCTCAGATTGTACAAAAAATACTTTTCATTTAGGTTTGGAGTGTATTGGGATATATAGATATTTTTTTGAATATGTTAGTAATGTAAAAAATTTATATATCTTGTGAAAAAATCTTCAACACAATTGAATAAAATAAATTAATTATTGTAATAAAGATGTAATTTATAATTTTTTAATCGAAATAGAAATTTATATGGATTATGCAGGACATATATATTGCCATGTAAATATTGTAACATATTGTTACATGATTTTATAAGTTTACTAGTTATAAAATATAAATAATTAGAAAAACCTAATTTTGCATTAACAACACGTAGTTTTCTAACTTTTGAACAATTGGGGGTAATATTTGATAGAGATCTTAATTTTCAAACTCCAACTTGTAACGATACTTTATTTATTTAAAAAAATGCAATTGATAAATACGAATTTTTTTTCAAATTATAATGGAATTAATTAAATACAAATTTTCTATTTTTTCTTTCTTCATTATCATTGTCCTTAAATATCCACTACCATTTTGTTTGATTTTTTTTATTGATCCTCTTATACAATAATTTTTCCTTTTTCTTTTTCTTCTGCACATTTTGTTTTTTGCTTCACCAAAAAAAATTATTCCCTTATTAATTCATTATTTAATAATTTTTATAATAAGTCCACCGGTTACAGCTGGAACAATTCCTTTCAATGCAAATGCTGCTACTTCACCAAATCCTCACTTTTGAGTTTTTTTTAACTCTTTTTCGTTTTCTTTTATACATTTTTTCATTTTTATTTTTAAAATAAGAATAAATAAGTAGAATAAGAGGTAAGCAAATTCAATAAATATACGCATGGAAAGCGATATCTGTTTATTTATGCAGAAGTAGTACAATTGTTATAACATATATATATATATATATTGATGATAAGAAGAAAATACGCAAAAACTACAATTTCATCCCAACAAGCCTGTTTCGTGATTTCTCACTCTTCAGTTGATAATATTAAATGAATATAAAAGCATGTGCTAGATTATATATACAAGAGGAAGTTAGGGTAAAAATTAAGATAGAATTACATAATATGTTGAGTGTATGGTTACAGATTGGATAAAAGTGCCTTGTGTCTATGGCGACAAGAGGAGATAAGTTCGTTACGTTTGTTTAGTGATGATAGTTGTGGCTGGTAGGGGATGAAGAATTTTTCTTCCAGGCATAGGTTGCATCTTTTGTTGGCGCTGTTGTACGGTTTGCTGTGAGTGATGATGCTCCATGAGTTATCGTGAGCGATGTTGTTGTCTTTTAGTGGCCATATGTGTTTGCTGAGTTCGGTGGAGTTTCTTAGTTTTTTGTGGCGGAAAGAGGCAGTGTGGTTCCTGTGTCGAGTCTTAAATTCGTTTTCTGTAATTCCGATGTAGGTCTCAGTTATGTTAGTGTCCAAACGTTTAACAGTTGCTTGGTAGATGACTAATGATTGTAGGCACTTTCCTTTAAGTGGGCAGTTTTGTTTCTGTCAACAGTTGCATGTTTTAGTTTGTGTATTTTTGTCATTGATGGGGACATTAGTATTGTCAGGTTCTCTCAACATGCGTTTGTTATGGTTATTAATAATATGTTCCATATTGTTAATGCAGCTGTAACTTAATTTAATTGTTTTGCGGTTAAATAGTTTTCTGAGTTTGTGGTCTATGCGAAAGTGCTTGTCATTTAGTGAAATGAATTTGTAGCCGATGTTTGTGCTGACATTTTTGCTGTATGGTGGGTTGTACCTGAGTATGTTATTTCTAAGTCTGTTTTTTCCGTTTCGTAGTAGCGTTCGGGTCATATTTAGTGTATAATGATATCCATTTTCGTCAAGTGCTTTTTGGTATGGAGGAATTGCTTGGTCGAATGATGCTCCATCGGATCATAAAGATGAAAGGCGTTTGTTAATGGTATCGGTATGTTCTTTGTAATGCTTGGAGGATGGTTGGTTTCGTGGTGTATGTATTGCAAAGAGGTGTTGGGCTTAGTGTAAGGTCGATGGGAAGAATTCTTTAGATTGAATGTGATGTCAACGAAGTTAATGACTTTTTTGTTAGCTTCGATAGTGATACGAAATCCGTTGTTGTTAAATACGCGGCATATCTCTTTTTTAATTTTTTCTGTTTCGTTAGGTGTTGCTTTAGTAATGGCTAGTCCGTCGTCGCGATAGAGTCCTATGTTAGTGATGATGTGTTGTAGTTGTGAGAGGAGATAGCTTCCTACAAGTTCGCATGTCTCGGCACCGTCGAAGCTGCCCATTGTCACGTCGAATGTGGAGTTGTATTTCTTTTGCCATGGTTGTTGGCTGTGAATGATGTATGAATTCTTGGCATGTATGATAATGTTTCTCTCTTGGTTTGTGACGTTTTCGTGGGTTGAGGCGAAATCAAGTGCTTTGTTTAAGAGTTCTTGGTTGATAAATGGGTAGAAGTCTAAAATGTCGAAAGATATGAAGTTGAGATTTTGTTTGTGTTTGATGTAGTTGAACCACTTGATGACAGATGACGAGTTTTTCCATTGGTTCAGCGAAGTGGCTTTTATGATCTTGCTGTTTATTCTGTCAAACATTTTTTTTCTAATTTTTCCAATTTCAGATTTCGTCGGATTGATTCGTCGGCAGGTGGGTTTATGGAAACGATATGATGAAGATGATCCAATCAGTAAAATTTAAAAAAGGAAAAACGCATTTCTCACCGAAATAAAAGACAACACCACAGCTATTTATCGCAGCCGACGAAACAACAAACTTCTACAAACTAAACAAGCCACCATACAACGACCTCCTACAACAAAATATCTCGAAGTCATACAAGAAAATAAACGTCGACGCAATACAAGCCATTCACACCGAAGACAAAAATATCACATCACAACTGGGTACATCTGACAGAGTAGACTCCACCGCTAACAAAGACGCATTCATAACACTCAAAGATCACAAACCGAATTTCGCAAATAAACCCACATGCCGACTAATAAGCCCGACGAAATCTGAAATTAACAACAACGGATTGCGTATCACTATCGAAGCTAACAAAAAAGTCATTAACTTCCTCGACATCACGTTCAATCTAAAGAATTCTTCCCATCGACCTTACACTAAGCCCAACACCTCTTTGCAATACATACACCACGAAACCAACCATCCTCCAAGCATTACAAAGAGCGTACCCGATACCATTAACAAACGCATTTCATCTTTATCATCCGACGGAGCATCATTCTACCAAGCAGTTCCTCCATACCAAAAAGCACTTGGCGAAAATGGCTATCCTTACACACTAAATATGACCCGAACGCTACTACGAAACGGAAAAACAGACTTAGAAATAACATACTCAGGTACATCCCACCATACAGCAAAAACATGAGCACAAACATCGGCCTCAAATTCATTTCACTAATTGACAAGCACTTTCGCCTAGACCACAAACTCAGAAAACTATTTAACCGCAACACAATTAAATTAAGTTGCAGCTGCATTAACAATATGGAACATATTATTAATAACCATAACAAACGCATATTGAGAGAACCTGACAATACTAATGACACCATCAATGACAAAAATACACAAACTAAAACAAGCAACTGCCGACAAAAACAAAACTGTCCACTTAACGGAAACTGCCTACAATCATCTGTAATCTAACAAGCAACTGTTAAACATTTGGACACTAACACAACTGAGACCTACATCGGACTTGCAGAAAACGAATTTAAGACTCGACACAGGAGCCACACTGCCTCTTTCCGCCACAAAAAACTAAGAAACTTCACCGAACTCAGCAAACACATATGGACACTAAAGCCTAGTTTCCATATAATCGTCCGAATCGTTCCATAAAGTTCAGACGATTGGGACGATTAAGACGATTAGGATGATTTAACGTTTCCATATAATCGCCTTTAAACCAATAGCTGCATCGCAAGACTGTAAACAAACATGGCGGAAGAAAACAATCTTGGAGCTAGCCTGTTGATTTTGGCGTCCAGCATGCTATATATCCTTGCTGTTATACGAAGATGACGAGACAAGATGAACAGGAGAAAACATAGATTTTGGGTGAGGAGAATTTATCAGAAGAGAGAGGAGTTAGGAGCTTATCATACCCTTGTAAGAGAGCTTCGTATTCACGACCGAGAATTTTACTTCAGGTATGAGTGTATGAGTATTGTACTTATATTACATTTACGCTCTTAATTTTGTAGGTCTTGTGTGTCATATGTCATGGAATACTTACTTTCACTTCTCTAGCTTCTTTAATGCATTGTAAAAGTATAAAAATGTGTCAATATTTCACATTTTCTAGATTCACAAGAATGACAGCAGAACGTTTTGAGCATTTGCTCTCACTTTTTGGCCCACTGATAGCCAAAAGAAAATGTCGATCAAGAAAAGCGATCTCTGAAGCAGAGCGATTAATGATTACTTTAAGATATTTAGCTACTGGTGACTCTCAACAATCACATTCGTTTTCATTCCGAATGGGTAGAGTAACTGTGTCAAAAATAATAAAGGAAGCATGTGAAGCAATTTGGGCAGTGCGGAAGATTGAATATCTTAAAACTCCAGCAACACAAAGTGACTGGTTGCATATTGCCAATGAGTTTGAGAAGGAATGGAACTTCCCAAACTGTATTAGTGCACTTGATGGGAAGCACATTATGATGGACTGCCCAAAAAATGCTGGATCCGCATACTACAATTACAAGGGATTTCATAGTATTGTGTTATTAGCCGTATGCGATGCAAATTATTGCTTCACAATTGTAGATATTGGAGATTTTGGGAGCACAAATGATGCAAGTGTACTTTCAAGATCTGAGCTCGGACAATGTTTTGAAGACCATCCCTCAGAAATGCATCTCCCAAGCTCTTCCACTCATGGAGGTCACAATCTCGCTTATGTTTTAGTTGGTGATGATATTTTCCCTTTGAAACCATGGTTAATGAAGCCATATCCTGGGAAAAATCTGTCAGAATTTGAAAGGGTATTCAATTACATACTTTCAAGAGCAAGAAGCACTATTGAAAATGCATTTGGCATTCTGTCAGCGAAGTGGAGAATTTTTGGGAGACTAATAAGAGGCAGTCCTCAGTTGGTTAACAAGATTGTTCAAAAATCTGTCTGCCTTCATAACTATTTGCGATTGACAGAAAATGCATCATACATTCCTGCAGGATTTGTTGATACAGAAGACAACATTGGAAATATTGTGCCTGGTGGATGGAGGATAGAGGTTGAAGGAGATGAATGGGGATTCCGACAGCTTAATCGTGTTGGGGGTAACAGATATACATTTGAGACAAACAACATAAGGAATAATTTTAAACATTATTTCAACAGCCCTGTTGGTGAATTACCTTGGCAGCTACAGCATGTTAGCAGTTGTGGAATTAATAATACGAGATAGTGTAATTATTAAATTAAATGAGATATGATCTTCGCACTTAGCTGGACAATTTAAGCAATCGTCTCAGGACCTGAAAAAATCAGGTGACTCAACGGGATTCGAACCCATGACCTCTGCGGTGCCGGTGCAGTGCTCTGACCACTGAGCTATGAAGTCACACAGTGGTGAGCAGGTCATATTGTTGGGCTCATGTTTTCTCTTGAAATGAATGTCATATGAATGTTTTTATGCAGTGCGGTGTTTGAAATTAAATGAGATATGATCTTCGCACTTAGCTGGACAATTTAAGCAATCGTCTCAGGACCTGAAAAAATCAGGTGACTCAACGGGATTCGAACCCATGACCTCTGCGGTTCCGGTGCAGTGCTCTGACCACTGAGCTATGAAGTCACACAGTGGTGAGCAGGTCATATTGTTGGGCTCATGTTTTCTCGTGAAATGAATGTCATATGAATGTTTTTATGCAGTGCGGTGTTTGAAATTAAATGAGATATGATCTTCGCACTTAGCTGGACAATTTAAGCAATCGTCTCAGGACCTGCACCGGCACCGCAGAGGTCATGGGTTCGAATCCCGTTGAGTCACCTGATTTTTTCAGGTCCTGAGACGATTGCTTAAATTGTCCAGCTAAGTGCGAAGATCATATCTCATTTAATTTCAAACACCGCACTGCATAAAAACATTCATAGTGTAATTATGTAACAATGAACTTGTTATTTTCATTTGTTTGAATATTATCTAAATATTGTCCCTGTTCGTCACCTTTTGCCAAATAATCACGTGCAGAGTAACCAAAGCTTTCACTTGAGTTTGTTTTGGTAGTATATTGATCCCTTGATGTATTGTAGCACCCATGAGCCAAGCTCACAGAATGCATAACAGGCATAGTTGTTGAAATTGGATGAACAGGAACACCTGGCACAGTTGGAATGGGCATGGGCTGACCAGAAAAACTTGATACATTTGCATTTGGAAATGGCTAACCACCAAATTCTGCTTGATACAATGCTTGCTCAAAATGACGTTTTAGATATCCCTTCATCTTTGGAGATAAGCGTTTCATTCTTTGTGCAATACTCCTGCAATAGAGAGTATCTTCATCATCATTCTCTACATATTTTCTCTTTTTAGCAGCCTCTGGTTTTTGTAATACCCTCTCTGCTACTCCTGCCAGTGATGTTGCTGTTTTTAAAATGGCAGAATGAAATTCGTCCGCTGATTTTTTTCCACTCCAAGGACGTTTTGATTTTATTTTGATTTTTTCAGCTAGTGGTCTTGTTTTTAATTCGCTTTCAAACGAGACTGGACTGGGGCTTGATAAGCATGATAGTGGAGAGTTCGCACTTTGACAATCATCGATTTCTTCTTCAACGTCCCCAACATCTGTAATTACCCTGTCTAAACCTGTCATACTTTCTTCATCGCCATTGTCTACCTGAATAAATGACATGTTTGTTGAAGTATTAGCTCTCTGGTTGATATGCATTGTTAACCAGTCAAAATTGGCGAATTACGAAGGAACAGGTGCAGCATTTCTTCCAGAACCAGAAGGAATTGACTTTTTTTGCGAAGATATCTACCATAGGATGTGCGGATATTCTTGTATTTCTTCTCAGCTTCGGATGCATCAATGTTGAATTGTTCTGAAATTTTTTTCCAGCAGTTGAAGCGGACAAACTTGTTTCTATAATCTTTGTTAAATTTATTATAAAGACATTCGTATTTCTGTATTTCTTCCTTAAAATGTAGAGAGTTAAACTCATCGCTGTTAGTTGCCGCCATTTTGACGTGCGTTTCAATCGTTTCCATCGTCTGAAAATGTTTCCATATGATCGTCAGCCAAGGTTTACGATCGTCCCAATCGTCTCGATAGAATTGCTGACGATACAAGCGTTTGCTGTTTGTCCAATCGGATAGATCGTCTCAATCGTTCGTAAAGTGTTTCCATATAATCGTCTGGGTCGTTTCAAAAACGTTGAAACGATTCTTACGATTCGGACGATTATATGGAAACTAGGCTTAAAAGACAGTCAACATATTATGTAATTCTATCTCAATTTTTAACCTAACTTCCTCTTGTATATATAACCTAGCACATGCTTTTAAATTCATTTAATATTATCCCCTGAAGAGTGAGAAATCACGAAACAGGCTTGTCGGGATGAAATTGTAGTTTTTGTGTATTTTCTTCTTCTCATCAATATTTACTTATGTTCTTAAGCATAGAGAACTGTACTTACGGAGATTCAAATAAACAAAACTTCCTATATATATATATATATATACATTTACTATGGTGATAGCCGGGAGGGCACATTGTAATAAACTTTGTATATTACGCTCACTGCGCGTGCGTAGTTTGAGCACTGTCGGATTGTGTAGAGAGTCTCATATGGAGAAGTTCACCGTGTTCGTGATATGCAAAGCTCACCTTTATAGGTTTGAGCACTGTGGTGACTCTACAATACAATCCATACAATGTGTAACCGTACGTCCTGTGTCCCAAGTGCAGGAGTTACCATTTTACTATGGTGATAGACGGGAGGGCACATTGTAATACACTTTGTATATATATGTATATAAAACGGAACATCAGAAATGACTGCCAGACTTCTTCGACCATTTAATATTAACGTCGCCCACAAACTTACACAAAAACTCAAATCATGTTTCACAAAACATAAAGAAAAAGCAACAATTCATGATACAACTGACGCGATCTACATGATACCATGTAAAGACTGTTCAAAGAAATACATAGGACAAACATCTAAGAAAATTGAAACAAGACTCACAGAACAGAAAAACGCCATAAAACGACGAGATCCGAACTCACTACCGGCCGAACATACCAACGGAAACAACCATTCATTCGACTGGACAGAAACTAAAGTACTCGGATGCGCACAGACTAAACACGCACGCGAATTTAAAGAAGCTTGGTACAGTAAAGACATCGACACAATAAACAGACATATCAACATACCCATCATATACTCACAACTAAAGAAAAAGGGCAAAAAAACTACAAACAACACCAAAACTAAAACACTACACTCTAATATTATTAACACCAATCATATTCATAGCACACCAAAACCCATGGCAACGCATTTCACCCCATCCAATCACATTAATCCACCCACTACTCCAATTAGACGCTCTAAACGTCTCCAAGCTAAAGCACGAGTAAATAAATATTTTCATTCTGATGAAGGCTCGAAGCAACGAGTCGAAAGCTCAATAAAAATCACTTAAAATCCGGAGAAACTTATTTTTTATGTATTAAATGCCTGGATTACAAATTTTCAAACTATATATATATATATATATATATATATATATATATATATATAATTATTATGGATAATATTCCTGGATAAAAGAGCGCTCAATATTCTATATATTAGAAGAGCGTAAGATAAAATGAACTAAAATAAAATGGACAAGTGCCTGAAGATCGCCCTACGGCGTGAAACTCTGAGTAGCGACAGCAAACAATTGTCCATTTTATTTTATTATATATATATATATATATATATATATATATATATATATATATATATATATATATAGGAAGTTTATGATTTTCCGTATAAAACAGTGCTCGATGCCCGAGAGCAGAGCGTAAATATTGATAAGAAAAAGAAAATACGCAAAAACTACAATTTCATCCCGACAAGCCTGTTTCGTGATTGCTCACTCTTCAGGGGATTTAATGAATAAAATACTTAAATGCTTAAAATATATATACAAGATGACGGAAGTTAGTGTATTAATCAAGGTGTATAGTTTCAAGTTAGATGACGGAAGTTAGAGTATTAATTAAGGTGTATGGTTACAAATTATATAGGAGTGTTTTGGATCTATGGCGACAAGAGGAAACAAGTTCGTTTGTATGAACAATATCGAACAAATAATCAACAACCATAACAAACATATACTGAGAACATCAGACAAAACTAACGACAACACCGCGAACAAAAAGACACTTACAAAAACATGCAACTGCCGACAAAAACAACTGCGCACTTAACGGAAACTGCCTGCAGTCATCCGTTGTTTACCAAGCTACCACAAAACGCAAAGATAATAACACAACTGAGACGTACATTGGACTTACAGAAAACGAATTTAAGACTAGACATAGAAATCACACTGCCTCTTTCCGCCACAAAAAAACTACGAAACTCGACCGAGCTCAGTAAGCACATTTGGACCCTTAAACACAGCAATTTCGACCACGACATCTCATGGAACATCATCACACATAGCAAAACATACAACATCACCAGTAAAAGATGCAACCTTTGCCTCAAAGAAAAATTCTTCATCCTCTACCAACCATCCAAATCATCCCTCAATAAACGCAACGAACTTGTTTCCTCTTGTCGCCATAGATCCAAAACACTCCTATGTAATTTGTAACCATACACCTTAATTAATACACTAACTTCCGTCATCTTGTATATATATTTTAAGCATTTAAGTATTTTATTTATTAAATCCCCTGAAGAGTGAGCAATCACGAAACAGGCTTGTCGGTATGAAATTGTAGTTTTTGTGTATTTTCTTCTTCTTATCAATAAGAAGAAGAAAATACACAAAAACTACAATATCATCATTTCAAAATTGTAGTTTGAAATGGCAAGTCCGTCGTCTCGATAAAGTCCAATGTCTGTTGTGATGTTTTGTAGTTGAGAAAGGAGGTAGCTTCCTACGAGTTCGCATGTCTCAGCTCCGTGAAAGCTACCCATTGTGACGTCGAATGTAGAGTTATATTTTTTTTGCCAGGGTTGTTTGTTGTGTATAAGGAATGAATTCTTAGCGTGTATAATGATGTTTTTTTCGGCGTTTGTGATGTTGTCGTAGGTTGAGGCAAAATCCAGTGCTTTGTTTAGTAGGTCTTGATTAATGGATGGATAAAAGTCTACGATGTCGAAGGATATGAAGGTGACGTTTTTTTTGTGTTTGATAGATTTGAACCACTGGATCACAGT